TGGTCAAATGTGGTGGGGAGACATGAGAAGAAGCAGATCACAGATTTTAGGAAACTGAATATGTAAACTTCTACATAAGCACCAAGGATTATTTTTGTCCTCAGACTGTATGGTGAATTTGGTGATCATCCTTACCAGTACATTATGTAAGCTAGGTAAAATATTTCAGTCTGCAATTGTTTCTAATACCAAGTATATTTCAGTTTTCATGTTCATCTCTCCTTCCATTTCTATGTCCAGAGGTCCCTTTCCTTACCATTTGCAATTTATTACGACCCTTTGATATCTATCATTACATACTTGAAAAAGGCAGAAGTTATGGCAGGGTCGCATGTTATAGCAGAGGCATAAGAAGGAGGGTTCTGTGCTCATGGTGGCAAGCAGCTGCAGCTGTTCCTGGGTTGCCAGCAGTGCAGGGGGGTTCTTTCAGTGCCTCTCACCCCACCACCAAGTCAATTACAAGGGGTGGTGCTTTACAGTATTAACTGATTCAGGGAGGCATGTTCATAGGGAACAACCTACAAACCTACTTTGCTCTGACAAAGTATCTGATAAAGTAGATCGCAGATCGCTGCCTAGGAAACCTCATAACTCTCTGAATCAGTTAGTCTTTAAGGTTTGACCCTGCCCTACCTTCTGACTGACTTCAGATTAAGGATGTTATTAGACATTACCTGTCCCATGTACTAAATGCTCTTAAGATGGGAGTACCCATAAGTTAAGACAAAAGTTGATTAGCTAAGTGCCCTCTGAGCTTCTCAAAGTTACACCCCTTCCAACAAGATGGTGTTAGGCAGCTCATGTTGCAGAGCCAGGCACATTATATAGGGTATTCATCCTTGCCATGTGACTGCTTACAGCAAGTGCTAACTTTAATACCACCTAACTTTCTGGAGGCAAGAAATAGACATTGCTGAACGAAGAGGATCAACTGTGATGCGATGCTTCACGGCACAGCTGATTCACTTCATTAGCTGAAACACATTGGCCCTTGTCCTGCCCTTAATAACAGGCAGGTGTTCTAGGGGCTTGCCCTGGGTGGCTGGTGAGTACAACCAGCTCAGGCTGCCTGTACTCTTTTGCCACAGAATAGACATCTGCTGCAATAAAGTGGCAGAGTCTATTACCAGCTTTGTCATGTCACTAATTTTCCTTGTTACTACTCTTGTCATGCCACTAATGTGCTGCAACAAAGGGTAACAATGTCTATTTGCTAACAATTTGTGCACCCATAAAAAATTTTATGGCATCACAAATAAAACACCAACTGACATCTGTTTCCACCTTTAGAGTTAGCACATGCAAACTATAACATGTAACAACACTCTACCATAGCTAACCACCTCTCTCCTTGGCAAACCAATACTTAGAAAATGTTTATGTATTTCCAGGTGTCATTAACTGAACAAGGGTCTTTTTCCTTTTTGAAAAACTTAATCACCTTGCCCCTTTTTTCTCTTTAGGTCATCTCCTCCATCTCCCCGCTTCTGATCTGTCACTCACAGCTAGAAACAAGGAGAAGTGGTTCCTTGTTACCAGACAACTCTCCACAGACTATTAGCAAATACTGTGCAGTCATTCATGGTTTGAAAATCTTTGGATTACATAAAAGTATAGTAACAAATATGAACACCAGGAAGGACTGAAAGGTTTTTCTCCAACTATCAGTGTTTTGGGTAATGAAGTCAGACTTTTAATATTAATTTACATCTATTAATTTAATATTCAAATAATCCATTTTTTTTACTTAATAGAAACACAAACATTTATGTATACAAGGTTCCTTGGGTGAATCTGTGCAGGGGTGTAGGTTGTAGCCGTGTTGGTCTAAGGACATATACATTTATGTATAGAATTAGTGTTTTAATCATGTTTTCATTCTAGCACTGAATAAAGTAAAGTATAATAAATACTGAATAGTAAAGTAATTTTGTAAGTAAATTTCCTCCAGTTAACTCCAGTCACTGTTAATGAGAACAATTTTCTTTGGTAAAAGTACTAAAAAGGTGAAGATCTCTCTCTCACAAATGATCAGGTTGTTAGTAGATTTTGCAGTATATTCCTATTATGCAGCTCTAACCCACACTTAAGCAGGGTAATAATATTATTCAAAATGGTGTAAAGACCTGCAGCACATGACAGCTCAAGCTATCAGCACAAATGTATTGTAAGTGGAATACAGTCTTAATTTTTAAAGGAAATTGCACGTTTCACGCAGGTATAAATGTCAGCCTTATTTTAAGGCTGAGTAAATAGTCTTAAACACATCCTAATCCTATTAGATGCAAACCCTGGATGTAAAGGTTGAATTGAGTTGGCAGACCATTGTAGGTAAACATGCATTTGGCTCCCATAGGTATACTGTGCCGCGTGGTGGATAAAAGAGCTTTGTCCTCCTATTCCCTCAGTAGTTTCTCTCTTTAACACCGTACTTCTCAAAACCACAATTCTACAAATAGCCCAAGTTCCATATGACAGATGCTTCATATTTGGAATCCTTAGTGCTCCATATTCAGAGTTAAATGTGAAACCTCAAGTGGTTCTTAATTAAACCTTTACTTACAAAATGAGAAATCCCCAAGCAAATATTCAGCATGGTGCTCAAGTAATTACACACAGTAGGTGTGTAACTCCCATTATCAATAACTAGAGTTACATGAGAGTTCCTTGTGTGCAATAAAAATATATTCCCACTGCATCTTAGTTCCATATAAGCAACAGAAAAAAAGACTATCTTGAAATAGATTAAAGGAGCTGGTTTTTTCCTTAGTTTGTTCATGCTGAAGATGTTTTCTTCATGTTTTCTATCATCTATAATATTCTGTTAAAATGATCATGTCAAGATATCATTCCCTTCTCTGTAGCCTCATATTTGTTTGTGAGGGTTTTTTAAAATAAATTTTCTATTTGGTCACAGACATAAGGAGATACCATGATTACTTTCCTATTTACTTGGTCATCTGCAAACTGCCCTCATTACTGATAGTAAAAGGGATATGTGCAGCCATGGAACAATGGGGAGCTGTTCTGGACTGGATTTACAAATTTAACCTCAAAGGACATCCAACCCCACATTATAATAATTTTGACCCAAAAGCAGCTCTCCAGTTTCTCCTCTTCTCGCTCGTCCATGTATTAAGGATTCCATCTCTTCCCATTTCTGTTTCTTTCCCTTTTGCAAACACAACCTTCTCACCTCACTGACAGTCCATCACCATCCCTACTGTGAACCAGAAAAAAAATACTATATCATGGGCAAAGAGCTCCATGTTGCAAGTTCTCTCCTTATAACTGATCCCTCCCCACCCAAGTTGCCTCTATCTATCTCAGCTCTTATCATCTCTAAATCTGATGCTGGTTTAATAACTCAGTAGTGAGCAAAGGCCAAGCTGGACAGGCTGTGAGAAGATTCCAGGTAGGGAAGAAGCAGGGCTGGCTGGGAATTGCTCCTGGGTTTCTAGTTGAAGCATGTATCATACAAGTAGAAATAATTGCATTTCCAAGCACAAGGCCCCATGAAGTCCTATAATATCCTGACCAGCCCTCAAAGTTTTAAACATCTGAGAAACAATGCAAAGTTAAGTTAATTTCTTTCCACACACAACTTGATAGTGTCCATTGAATTGTTGTTAAAAAGCTGGCACAAATGTCAAGACATTTAAAGGTAAACCTTAACTTCAAACAAATGACAGCTTTGTTTAAAAAAACAGAAGAAAAATAATCTTATTAGTTGACTTCACATGTAGCACTTATGTAAGATAGACAGCAGACCTTAACTTTAAATGTCCTTAACAGTTTTTGTTGATCTTCTGTACAGTTTCTGAATTCCCTTTAAAGGGGCCTAATTATTTTGGCCAAATTTTGCTTAAAATTCAGTATTTGCATAACTAAGCTTTTGCAAAACCTGAACAACAGAATGTCTTTTCTTTGAATTTGTTTGTATATTAATTTTTTTAAGTTCTGTATAGCAGACATAACCTCAAAAATGAAGCACTGAGTGGCACATGAGAATCTGAACTTTAAAATGACTTGATCAAAAGCATAAATAAGGTTATCATGTTATGGTATTGTCCAAGCTAAGAGAAAAACAAAAGACTAACAATCAATAGTTTAAACAAGTGGTTCTTAAACAAATTCTCAGTTTTAAGAAAGAAATGAAAAGTGATGCAAATTAACTTTATTAAAAGAACTAGGAGAACCTTCTGTTATTAGAGACACCAAAGCAAACCCCAGCCAGACAAACTGAGGCCCCAGTTCCAAATCCTGAAACCTCTCACTCTTCACGTCTCTAAAAGCAACATTCACATAAGTATATGTAATTTATCACTAAAAGAAATTCAAGCCATTCTATGTTTCATGTCAATACTGAGTTATATATTGTTTTAAAGTACAAAATAAATATGTATTCAGAGAGCTCTGCTTGTAAATAAAATGTAAAATAATTAGCAAAGGCAACACAGCTTTTCCTATAAGATTTATAATGAAATCACTCAAAAATCATTTAGAGTATAACCCATGTAAATATTCACATACACACAACAGTCTTAAGGATTTTTTAAATGACCGTATTATCTCACATAGAACACACATCCTTTTTCCAAAGATCATCTTCTGGAAACTTGGATGCAAGTTATAAGCAAGGAAATATGGTAATAGCTGTTTCTGCGGCATAAGCCTCTGATGAGGAAAAGTGAATGTAACACTACATGTACCCCACAGGTGAGAACCCTGGGCTCCCTACCTGAAGTTACTCAGTTACTTACTGTTGCATACCAGTATTGTGTGAAAACAGAAAGATCTTTTTCTTCATTTTACCTTTCAAAAACAAGCTGAGTATCATATTTTGGGGGTATTATGTTGTATGCAAAAATATGGTAAATGTGTATGCAAAGTTTTTAAAAAAGAAATTCCAATGGATTTCAAAATATTGTGAACATTTTATTTTATATGAAACAAATAGACTCGATCCTTTAAAATCAAGGTTAAAAAAGAGCACATACATTACTCTGATGTTTATTGACTTCCATGGCATGCATAACATCTGGAGGCTCCTTCATGTGAGCATAACTGGATGTCCCTTTTTCAGCATCATGCTTCTGTCTGTAGAGTACCTAAAACAGCAAAATATATAGTATTAGACATTACAGTAAAATCCAATATAATATAGCTGCTTTGTGACCTCATTGCATCAGGTCTTGTTTTAAAAAGATAAGAGTGTTATGACTCGAGTTAAACTTCATTAGAACTACTGAATGCAACGGTCACCCTTCATTGAGGAAAAAAAATGGAGGGAACAACTAAATTTCTCCTGGAACCAGAAAGAAACCTTAACTCAAACCAATAATGCACGTAAAAGCACAAAATAAAGACACACCAAGGACATGTGGGCAATGCAGTTTTACTAAGAACATATTTATGCAAATCCAAGATAACCATGACATTAAGACATTCCCCAATAATTAGATTCTACACATGGAAAAATGTATAAATTTGTTATATTTTTCCAGATATAGAATCTAATTATTGTAAAGTCATCTTAAATTCCACCTGTGCACTGCTGCAGTGGGGAAAGCAGTGGCAGGGGGACAGATGGTGGGAGAAGCAGTAAGGGGAACAGGCAATGGAGGAGTTGGTGAGGTGAAAGGTGGTAGGGGAGAACAAACAGTTTGACCGCTGCCCCTGGCCCTCCTACACCTTGCCCCTTGTTGCCTGTTCCCCTTCATCACTTTCTCCCCCTGCTGCCTGCCCCACATGTGTCTGCTCACCCACAGCCTCTGTGAGGATGAGGGGCCTTTTTCCCCCATGTTAAATGGAAATAAAAACCCTGCCTTGGAATCAAGTAAATAGTGGTATATTATTTTAATAGAGGTCTGTGAGAGTGAGGAAAGCAGTAAAAAATGCCTAGAAATAGATTGTAAGGAAACAAAAGCCAAAAGCACAAAGTTTAAATAAACACCAGAAGGACGGCCCTGAGAACACCTATTGCGATAGACAGTTGGATTTAGCATTGGCTTTAAGTGGGTTGGGCTTGTGGCAGAATACCATCTTTGCCTTTCCCCAAACTCTGTTATCTGACAATTTGGTTGCCATGGTCACTACAAAGGGCAGGCACCTCTGCCCCATCAGCTTCAGGTAACCCTGAGTTGTAACCTGAGCTGGATACATTCCAGAGGGAGGGGGAAACCCGCTGCCTCTGCCTATATGACTGGCCTCACACATACCTGGGTGAGGGGCTTAAGCTCCCTATTGTTCTAAGCAATGCCAACTTTGTAGCCAACAACATGACTGGGAGGAGCTAAAGACCCTGCCAGTCTATCCAGCAACCAATGATGCATTTCAAATTGGTTGGCTGGCAGCCAACAGTTGCTGGCCTTCATTGGATCAGGTAAATGAGGTCATAGGGGCTAAATAAGTGAAGGACTGCCCAGGAGGTGGGGGCAGTAGCCATGATGAAAACTCAGAGAGAAGCTGAACCATCTGAAACTCTCTCTCTCTCTTGAAACTCATGATTAATTAATTGTTTGCCTCCAGAGGGAATTTCCACCTGCCTCTGGATGGTACTTGTGAGTAAACTACCTGAGATGTAACTAGATATATAGCTTGCAGTAACTCAGATGCATGATCAAAGGCTACCATGCCACTGTTTGCTCTAAGGTATTTCTCTGATACTGCTCTACCCTGTACCCTATTCCAAACCTACTCCCTGTAACCAAGAAAGTTCTCCTCTGTACCTAGCATGGGAGACTTATTGGGAGACGGTCTAGATTATGCCTTGGGGTTCCCTTATTTCAGCTAACTAAGGGATACCACTATTTGTGCTTCAGACTGAGGGAAGCCCCCCAAGTTCTTGCAGTGGGTCAAGTACCCTCAAGGACTACTAGGCCTGTGTTTCCCAGAGGGCACAGGTCCAAGGTCAGTTCAGACTCTGGGTGGTGGTGGCGTTACTCCCAGGTTTGCAGGTGTGTTCCAGGAAGGGGGTCAGTTGGACATGAAATGCCCCCAGGGAGGCACTCGGAGCCTAGAAGGTGGTCGGGCACAGTGAGGTGGGTGGCCCAATGCAGGAGCACCTCCTAATGACCCGCCACAGGCCTAACAGTAGAGAATTTACAATCTATTTGATTCCTCTAGTGTTTGCAGAAACAGGATTTGTGCCTTCTTTGTATATCAAACATGACTGCTGAAAGGTACCTGCCTCCATCAGTCCACCGCCCTAACAGTAACAACCTGCAGAACCCAAAGTTTTACAGAACTTGTACACAATAGACAATACACGTACAAATAATGTGGGTAATACATGTGCAAATAATGCGGGACCAGTTTACTCTACATTACTCCAGAGTCAAGTGACCTGGGCATGCATCTACACATGCAGCGACTTGGGACTAGATGTCCTGCTCATGGCAACAATCTGCTCCCAACCCATCCACCCTGCATCAGCCCCCTACAGTATCCAGGGGGAGCTCTAGGCTCCCCCTGGGTGCTAGCCCATGGGCTCGCAGGGAGCACAGGGACATTGCTCCCTGCCCCTGGGACCTGCCTGTCCCCAGGATGAGCTCTGCCGCTGGAGCCTGGGAGGAAACAATGTCCCCCTGCCTGGCAGCAGGGAGCTCTCAGCCTCCACTCTGCAATCATGATCATGGGGCCTGGAATGGGAGATTCTTATCTCCCAGCCCTAGCTCGTCATGAGGCCCAGGCTGGGAGATTCTCATCTCCTAGCACCAGCTCTGCAGTCACAGGGCCTGGACTGAAAGCTTCTTCACTCTCAGCCCTAGCCCCATGGTTGCAGGGCCTGGGCTGGGAGATGCTTATGTCCCAGCTCCACACTCACAGGGCCCGGGACGGGAGATTCTTCTCCCCCAGCACCAGCTCTGTGGTTGTGGGGCAGTGATGGAAGATTCTTCTCTCTCTCATCACTGGTCCCAAAACCATGGGGTGAGGGCTGGGAGATAAGGATCTCCCAGTGCCAGCCCCAGACCATGGAGCAAGTGCTGGGAAAGAAGAATCTCCCAGCACCAGCCCTGCTGCAATGGAGCTGGCACTGGGAGAGAAGAATCTCCTAGCCTAGGCCCCACAACCATGGGACAAAGCCTGGGAGACAAGAATCTACCAGCCCAGGCTCTGTGACCACGGGGCTAGGGCTTGGAGAGGAGAATCTCCCAGCACCAGCCCTACAACCATGGAGCCGGCACCAGGAAAGACAAATCTCTCAGCGCTGGCCCCACAACCATGGGGCTAAGGCTGGGAGATAAAAATATCCCAGCTCTCGATCTCCAATCACAATTGTAAAGCGGGGGCTGGAAGATGAGAATTTCCCAGTCCCTGCTCCCTGACTGCAATCGCAAGGTGGGGGCTGGGAGCTCCCTGTTGCTGAAGCAGGGGGACAATGCCCAGGCATGGGTTCTGGTGGGGGAACCCTGCCCAGTAGCAGGCAGCTCTTGGGGGCAGGGACCAATCTCCTGCCCCCTGCTGCCAAGCAGCACATTTGCTGCCAGTTAGCAATCTTCACTTGCACTACTGTGCACTAAGTAATCAGGAATAAATTTGCTACTTGTATTTACAGGTACCAAATTTACTTGCTATTAAAGCAAATTACTGCACAGTAAGCACTCAGCACAGTAATGCCAATGTTGACATTTACCGGGCAGTAATTAGCTCTTATCTCAAGTAAAGCATCTCGTGTAGATGTGCCCAGTATAATATAAACAATATTTATATTCAGTATTCATTTTTTAGAAAGAAAATTGCACAGGTTTGAATTTATTAACTAATTTATTTTTATAGCACATATTGAGTCAATGGTAAGCCATCCTACAAGTTTTATAGCACTGTATTTATGAGCATGTGCGCACACACGCTGAAATGGCCTTAAAGTCTCACACTGGGTTTCTCTTTCACATAAGCATTCATGCTTACTTAAGAACATTCAACTGGTTATTGATACTTAAAGAAAAAGCAAGCATCAAAATATTTTCAAAGAGATCTCCATAACAGGCCTTAAAACAATCCATGAGCAAAGCAAATTCTAAATAATATTATAAGATGATCACAGTAATGATCTGAAACTACAACCTTCAATACAAAGAAGACCACAAAACTACATGTTTTGAAATTGGAACTCCTGAGAAAACTGACCTAGACTACTAAATATAATACCAGAACTGTATGGAAATGTCCTAGCTCTAGAACTTCATATGAGAGCCACAGATCAACTGCCCTAAGGGAATACAGAAGGGGAATACACACCAACAATATTATATATATCTAGATAAATAGATAACCTTAAATATACACATATATGGTGTGTGTTTAGGGGTGCAGAAAATGACAATCATTGTGTAGATGAGAACACTGTGTAACTGTATATGCTTGCATATAAAATATCAGAGCTAATTAAGTGGGAGGGGGGCATTAGTATCTGTTGTTATTCCACCAGAGCAAAAATACATTACTGTAACAGAAACATTAAGAATTATATGTAAGAGTTTAACAATGTGTAATATGACTGAAGCTCAATATTTAAAATGGAAGGCTTATGTTTACAAATTGGGTGCTAGGTTTGAATTCAATTATTTCTTTTACAGAGATATAATAATGTACATGAAATGACTTAGAACACATATTAAAATACATTTCAACATTTTCTGTTTATTAAAAATAAATTACATGGATGTTCCAAAAACTCTCCCCAATAAGTTGAATGCAGTACTTAAGATTCACCTGATTCATCATCTTCAAACAAACAGAAAATATTGTTAAACATCCATGTATAATAACTGCCCAAGTTACTGCAAGTGCAAAAGAGAAGAAAATTGAATTGCCTGTTGACATGCTCTAAACTTCAATTTGCTTTCGTTACTTATTTCCTGATAAGGAGTTGCTGGGCAATCTTTTCTCATGGCAGAAACAAATTGATGGAATGCATACAATTCTTATGATGTACCTTGCCACATTTCCGCTCAGCCATTTGAAATACCATAATACCTTTCTAAAAACATGCTGTGAAGAGGGAAGAACTTGGTGCATTGCTTTTCAGACTGGAAAAAGATAAGACATGAAACTATAGCTGAGCAGGAATTTTCCATCAGACAAATTTTCCACAGGAAGAAGCAAT